AAAAAAAAAAAAAAAAAAAAAGGTACTCACTTCTCTAAGCCTCAGTTTCATCATCTATAAAATAGACAAATAAGAGAGCTTACCTTCTCAGCATTGCTCTGAGGTCTAAATGAGAAGATATTTAAAAGCCCCTGCAATACTATAGGGCCTCAGGGAATGGAAACCCCCTGAGACCCATTTGCTTCTCCATAGGTGGGTGCGCCATCTCATTACCTGCATTTCCAAGTACCAGTCTCCAGGCCGGGCCTCCACTCCCCGAGAGGAAGGTGAGTGTTTCACAGGGGTCGGTGGGAGGAACCTTCCCCTGGGCCTGTTTATCCTGGGATGGAGACAGGGACCTCAAATGCCCCAGTCTACTCCCTGGCCTCCCAATCCCTGAGGGTTCCCAACTTGCTTGCCTCACCCCAGACTGCTATAGTGAGACAGAGGCAGAAGACCCTGATGATGAGGCTGCGTCTCGCTCAGCCTCGGTGAGTAGGGGACTGCTGAGGGTAGGAGGTGGGAGGTAAAGGGCAGGGCATGGAGCTCAGGCTGATACCCTGCTCTTCTTTGGCCCTGCCTACAGCCCAGCCCAGCTCGAGCTTGGAGTCCACTTCACAGAGACACATCCCCTACAACCACCCCCACGCAGCACAGCCCCTGGACCTCCTTTGGCTCTCCAACAGGTGCTGGGCTGTACTTGGGCAACTGGACTGGGGACTGGTGGGCACATCCTTATCCTACTACTTCTTCCCACAGACAACAGTGATGGGGAGCTAGAAGGAATGGTACGGGGCCTGAGGCAGGGTGGCGTGTCCCTCCTGGGCCAGCCACAGCCTCTGACTCACGAACAGTGGAGGAGTTCTTTCATGCGGCGCAACCGAGACCCCCGGCTCAATGAGCGAGTGCACCGTGTGCGGGCATTACAGAGCACACTGAAGGTCAGCCGGGGGCACTGGCTCGGCAAGGGACTGGGCTCTGGGTGTAAGCTTTGGTTTGTGACTCTCAGGCCCACCTGGGCTCTTGACTGCAGGCTAAGCTCTGGTCTCAGCTGTGGACTGGGCCCACTAGGTTCTGAGTTTGAAGTTTCATCTAGGCTCTTTGTGCTAGGCTGGCCCAGGTGCTGGCTTCTAGGTACTGGACTCCAGACTTAGCTCTGGGCTTATGGTCTGCCCCCTCTTTGGGCAATCATGGTTCCTTAGCCCCCTGTTCCCCTCACAGGCAAAACTGCAGGAGCTACAGGCCTTGGAGGAAGTGCTAGGTGACCCTGAGCTGACTGGAGAGAAGTTCCGACGGTGGAAGGAGCAGAACCAAGAGCTGTATTCAGAGGGTCTGGGGGCCTGGGGAGTGGTCCAGGCTGAGGGAAGTTCCTATGTCTTGACCTCTGACTCCAGAGCTCAATCCCCCCAACCCCTGCCCTCTGACCCTGAGGAGCACTCCCATCTTTTCTCTGTGACCTCCGACCCTGGCCAGCATCCTAGTGTCTGACCTCTGGCCCAAGGAACACCTGAACTCCTGCCTCTGACATGTCTAGGGTGGAGTGTCCCTGGATTGTGCTGAGGGCCAGAAGCAGCACTAGTCCATGGTCTTGCTTCTGCCTGGGCTCCCATCACTCCCGCCCCCCTCCCCTCAGAGTGGGATAAAGTGAGCTTTGCGCCACCATTTCCCCTTACCAAAGAAACTATCCCACCCCATCCTCAGATCTATGGGGCTCCCCTAGTTCTCCCACGAACTATATCTGTACAAGTGTTCTTTCTTTTACATGAGGGGCACTTCCCAACCAAATAAAATCAATTTCTTTAAAAATGGATCTACCATTTAAAAAAACGCATGTTTGAAATAAAATTCTCTATTGTAAATAAATTTTTTTCTTTGGATCTTGGAAATAAAAAAAAAAATGAATCTACTGCTGTCTTTACTTCATATTAGAATCAGGAACCTGCCCCCAGAGGAGACAGGGGTATGGGGAATGCTCTCAGCCAGAGGGCAGGTGGCTGGCCCCTCATACAGCCCACTGACCTGAGCTCTGCAGCAAGCTCCACAGCTGCCAGATGCTGGACTGCTAACCCATGGCTGCTGAGGGCTCCCACTCATGTCTACCTCTCCCCAGCCCTTCATAGGCCAGAGGTGGTCTCCTACCCCATTCCCAGGAGGACAAAATGAGAAACTTTCACTTTGCAGATGGGGAAACATACCTTGCCCAGAAGGGTAGAGTGGGCAGCCCTGGTGACCAAGCAGAGACAGGTGGGATGGAATAGCCAGTGTGGAGGGCAGGTAGAGGACTATTCTGGGGAAGAGCACCTCTCCTCAGTCCAGCCTCACCCCCAGATCCTGGATCCTCAGCCAGGTGTAACTCCATTCAGGCTGCACAGGAGACCTGACCTGCTCCTTTTAGCCTCTGACCCCTGACCCAGCAACTCCATGGCATCCCTGACAGGGGGCCAATGGGAGGAGCTCCTCTCAGGGCTGGAATTCCTTGGTAGAATGTGGAAGGCTGGAAGTCACAGAGGCCTATGTGAGATCACCACGAGGGGAAGTGAGGCCGCTTGGAAAGAAGTTTCTTTGAAGAGTAGGAAGGAAGAGACTGAGCAATCATGAGTGATGTACAAAGGACCTGGTGGCAGCAATGGAGAGATCCCGCCAATGTCAAACATATGACCCCAGTGGTAGGTGGCCCCAGCCTGGCTACACTGCCCAAGTTGGCCTTCTGGGTTGAGGTGGGGCAGGGCACAAGAGTACTGTATGGGGTCTGGAGGGGCAGTGGCTGCACTGAAGGACCCTCCTCTCCCCCTCAGAGAACCACTCATGATGCCTACAACCGGACAGAGGAGCATGTGCTCATCAACCGCCATGACATCACAAGTAGAAAGGTAAGGATGCCCCTTGCCCTATGATGGCCCTTTTGCAGCTGTACCCATGGGCAGCAGATCATCATGGCAACTCTAACCCCCTATTCCCCAAGGACCCTCCCTAGCAGTGATGCCTGCAGGGATTCCCCCCCCCCCATAATGTGTTAGTAACTGCCTAGCAGTGCCTCCCACAGGAAACCCTATATAATGGCAGTCATCACCATCAGAGTCCTCCTAAGAGTTAGTATTGCAATGATCCTCCTCCACAAAGATCCCCCAAGAGTGACCCATATTCAGCGAAGGGAGTGACCTCTACACTGATGCTGCCATTCTGTAATCACCCCCTAGAATGGACCCCCAGGGATCCCCTATTTCCTGAAAGCAAACATCCAGGTAGAGGCCTTCTATGGTGACACCTGCCTGAAAGTAGGTCCTGCCCTCTTCCAGGATGCCTGGGACATGCAGGAGTTCATCACTGGCATGTATGTCAAGCAGCTGCTCCAGCACCCTCTCTTCCAGCTGCTGCTGGCCGTGCTGCTGGTGATCAATGCCATCACTATTGCTCTCCGTACCAACGCCACCCTTCACCAGGTGGGACACCAGCCTGACTCTAATTGGGAGCCTGGGGCAAGGCACTTCGCTCTCCTCTCTGGGGCTCAGCCTCCTAGCCTGGATTGGATGTTCTTAAAAGGTCTGTTAGTTCTGACCTTCTAGGGCTCTGGAGATCAAAGACAACTTCACGGCGGAGGGGGCTCTAGAGCCCTGCTTTCAGGAATACACTGGATTTGGGAGGAAGGGAAAGAATGGTGTGAGCAGATGCAGACCCATGGACACCTTATGGGGAAAAGTATTCACTTCTAACCAACTGTCAGTAAGAGAGAATCATTCTGGGCTAGGCACTGATTGTGCTCAGTGTCAGAGTTCCAGGTATAGCACAACAGACCTAGTTCCTGTCTTAGACATACACCGACATGTCATTACAAGTACCTGAGGAGCAGCCAGAGTTCATGAATGTTCAAAGAAGGCAATTGAACCTATCTAGGAGGTCAGAGAAGGCTTCCTGGACAAAGTGACACTTAAACTAAGAGTAAAGAATGAGTAGGGGTTTACCAGGAAAAGAGACATGGGCAATAGTAGTGATTTGGGCAGACGAAACAGCATGTGAGAGAGTTCTGTATCTCCAATTTGGAGTCCAGTATGTCTTTGGTCTTATCCTTGATGTTTTAATTTCTTTCTTTCTTTCTTTCTTTTTTTGAGACAGAGTCTTACTTTGTTGCCTTCAGTAAAGTGCCATGGTGTCATAGTTTACAGCAACCTCCAACTCTTGGGCTCAAGCGATTCTCTTGCCTCAAGCCTCCCCAGTAGCTGGAACTACAGGCACCTACCACAACACCTGACTGTTTTTAGGGACGGGGTATTGCTCTGGCTCAGGCTGGTCTTGAACCTGTCAGCTCAGGCAATCCACTGGCTTCGGCCTCCCAGAATGCTGGCATTATAGGCATGAGCCACCGCGCCCAGCCATTAATGTTTTAGTTTCTAACAAGGAATATACACATATGTATTGTGCTATTTAAAATCAATTTTTATTTTCAATTTATTTATTTTGAGACAGAGTCTCACTCTGTCTCCCTCAGTAGAGTGCTGTGGCATCATAGCTCACAGCAACTTCAATCCCTTGGGCTTGAGCAATCCTCTTGTTTCAGCCTCCCCAATAGGTAGGACTACAGGCATGCACCACCTTGCCTGCCTAATTTTTCTATTTTTAGCAGAGATGGGCCTCTTGCTCAGGCATTTGCTCAGGCTGTTCTCAAACTTCACCCACCTTAGCTTCCCAGAGTGCTAGGATTACAGATGTGAGCCACCAAGCCTGGCCCTGTTTTTGTTTTTAAAGACAGAGTGTTGCAGGTTTAGAAAGCTTACGCTGGGCTCGGCGCCTGTGGCTCAAGTTGCTAATGTACCAGCCACATACACCTAAGGTGGTGAGTTTGAATCCAGCCCAGGCCTGCCAAACAACAATGACGGCTGCAACCAAAAAATAGCCGGGCATTGTGGCAGGCGCCTGTGGTCCCAGCTACTTGGGAGGCTGAGGCAGGAGACTCGCTTGAGCCCAGGAGTTGGAGGTTGCTGTGAGCTGTGATGCCAGGGGGACAGCTTGAGGCTCTGTCTCAAAAAAAAGAAAGCTTATACTGGATGGTAACATGAAATGTTGTACAAATGGTCTCAGTACATGCCTGGCACGCACATGCAAACTGTGTTGCAAAGGGAGCACAAGGAAGCCCAGGACTAAGAGCAGGAGGAATATAGGCCTTCCCTCCCCAGCAGATGGCTTCTGCCCTTGGCTCTCCCAGGCGCTGCTCCACTGACCTCTCTGCCTCTCTCTTTTTCTCTCTTCCACGTAGCAACACTATGAGTTGTTCTCTACCATAGATGACATTGTGCTGTCCATCCTTGTCTGTGAGGTTCTCCTTGGCTGGCTCAATGGCTTCTGGATTTTCTGGAAGGTGAGGTCCTAGGCCATTCCTGCCATTGCCCCTCCCCCTCCCTGGGAATGCAGCCCACCCAGGCCCTGCCCCTGTACTCCTTCCTGGCTTATGAACTGAGGTGAGGGAAGTTCATGCAGGGTATGTGCATGTACATGTGTGCATGTATGTGTGCGTGTGCGGGGTGGGGGAGAGTTCTGAGATGTATGTGATGTGGCAGAAAATAATTTGTATGAGAAGTACTGCCTCTTCCAACCCCTGTTCCAGCTCAGCCTTCCCCAGCCATTGAGTCTTGGGCAAACCTTCATTTTCTTATCTGAGAAATAGGATTGAGAGTATCTACCATAATTTACAGGAATTAGCACAGTTGTTTTTTTGTTTTTGTAATGGGCCAGATAACAAATATAGGGTGTTCATGAAGTTCATGTATAATTTTAAATTGCACATGAACTTCAAGGACTCCCTGTATTTTAAGCTTTACTTACAGGCCATATAATCTCTGTCACAGTAACTGGCTTCTGCAGATCTTCCCTATTCAGTCGCTTTCCTCCACCTCACAGACTCATTCAGCTGTCTCCTCTCCCAGGAAGTCTTCTTGTGTTTTCTAGGCTGCGTTAAACGCTGCTCTGTACTTATTTCTCTTACTGTCTGTCCATCTCCCTCAAAACTGCCCAACAAATTTACGAACATTTTTTCCTATGTAAACATTTTTTCCTATTTTCCTATATAAAGTAGTCTTCCTGGGCAGCGCCTGTGGCTCAAAGGAGTAGGGCACCAGCCCCATATGCAGGAGGTGGGGGTTCAAACCCAGCCCCCAGCCAAAAAAAACCTGTAAAATAGTTTTCCTCAGGCTGGCCACAGTAGCTCACACCGGTAATCCCAGCACTCTCAGAGGCCGAGGCAGGCAGATTGCTTGAGCTTAGGAGTTCAAGACCAGTCTGAGCAAGAGCAAGACCCCTTCTCTAAAAATAGCCAGGCATTGTGGCTGGTGCCTGTAGTCCCAGCTACTCAGGAGGGTAAGACAAGAGGATCTCTTGAACCCAAGAGTTTGGGGTTGCTGTGAGCTATGATGCCACAGTATTCTACAAAGAGCAACAGAGTGAGACTCTGTCTCCAACGAAGAATAAAATAGTTTTTCTTTAGTAACCAACCTAAACTATTGAAAAAAAAAGGTTTCTTTTTGAGTATTTTTATTTAATTTAATTCTATTCTATTTTATTTCACTTTATTTTATTTTATTTTATTGAGGCAGAGTCTCAAGCTGTCGCCCTGGGTAGAGTACTGTGGCATCATAGCTCACAGCAACCTCCAACTCAGGCTAGAGCAATGCTCCTGCCTCAGTTTTTCTATTTTTAGTAGAGACAGGGCCTTGCTTTTGCTCAGGCTGGTCTTGAACTTGTGAGCTTAAGCAATCCACCTGCCTCAGCCTTCCAGAGTGCTATGATTATAGGCATGAGCCACCGTGCCTGGTCATTTTTAAATATTTAATGCAGATACGTATTGGCCAAAACTATATCAAAAGTGCACACATATATGTAGTCATTGTGGTAAAAATAAATAATTTTTTTTTATAAAAGGTGCACACAATTCTTGCCTTCCCTCCTAGTCATCCCCTCTCCTCTCTACGTGATCTTTTTATATTTTTAGTCTCTTGTTTATCCTCCCAGTATTTAATGTTACAGTCACCAGCAAGTATATTTGAGTACTCCCTTTCCTAACCTTAGCATACTATCGTTATGCCCAGGAGTTCCACAAAGACCACAGTGCCAAACAGGCAGAATTCATAGCAGAGTCTCTTTATTGAAGAGCCAGCAGGCAACTGCCTCACACCCAACACAGGGTTTCAGAGAGCAGCCCCAGGCAGGCATCCTCAAACTACGGCCCGCGGGCCACATGCAGCCCACTAAGGACATTTATCCAGCCCGCAGGGTGTTTTTGTTGCCACTGCCTGTCCTGCTTAGCAGCTGACTTGTCCCGGGGCCCATAGTCGGGCCCTCCAACGGTCTGAGGGACAGTGAACTGGCCTTCTATTTAAAAAGTTTG